TTCCTACATACAGTTTCGAGTGGTTTCACCTTTTCCTTCCTCTTCAGGGGGCGGGTAGAAGCCCAATCTACTTTGAACGCCGTCCTACTCCATGTTTCTACCTACTTCTTCCGACCGACGGGTATAGATGGATGGTGGTATTGTGCAACTTCGCTTTTTTGCTCGACACCTCCTCGAACTTTAGAATTCATGCGCTTCAGCCGTGCAAGCGTTTGTCTGGAGGTGTACGCTTTCACAGTCGTGCTCTCGCTTGAGACTCTTTCACGAGGCCCACGCATGCAGCAATTCGCGATAGCATGTGAAGTAGCGGCCCTCGTCCGAATCCGCCACCATGCTCTGGTGTTGGATCAGAGGCCCCTTAGATGTCTCTTGGTCACGGGTGAGGCCTCTTGGAGGCTTCTTGGGGGTCTCTTTGGCGCCTCGCAGGGTCTCCTCGGGGCCTATTTGGGCCACTTGGGGTCCTCTTGGGTGCCTCCTGGCTATCTCGAAGGCCATCTTGAGGTGGAGGGCTCGAACTGTCAGGTCGTGCTCCCTCTGTGGGAGGATCCTGGGGGCCTCGTGCGCCGTGTTGGGCGCTCTTGCGACCGAAAGCGTATCTCCGAAAAGGCGAGAATCGCAATTTCGCTGAAAGGCAACTGTTTTAGCCTCTTGGGGCGGCTCCCACAGCCTCCGCGACGGCCCAACAGGCGCCTGAGAGGGCTCCAGGATAGGGTTGGATCTATCTTAAACCATGTTGGACGTGCCGAGTTCCAGTCACGCCTCCGAGGCCTCCACAAGAGTCGCTTACGCGACAAGGCCCAGGGGGCGCGCGGGAGCGCCCGACAGTGCCCAAGAAGGCGCCTGGAGGCCCGTGCCCTGCGACGCCTCGCGGAGCACCTGCTGTGCGCGAAGCAGAGAGTTCGAAGGGGCACTTGAGGGCACTCCGCCCAGTGCCTCGCGGCACGGTGGCAGACTTCTCAGTGCAGTCCGGAGGACGGGCAACCTTCCCAAGGGTACCCCGCGCATCCTTGCCTCCTCGGTCCATCCTTGGCTACTTTCGCTGGCCGCTCCCCGCCCGAGAAGCTGTGAAGTGGGCGTCCGATGCCGCTTGCACCCTTTTCGTGCCTCCTTAATGCTGCGGGTCGACTGCAGGTTACCGTTGGGCCCTGGAGGCTCCCGTCCCGTCGCGCCGCCGCGTGGGGCGGCCACCGCGCTTGGGGGGGGGACGCCTGGGGGGGGTGGCGGGGGGGGCATCAGTTGTTTCGGCGGCAAGATTTTGAAACGCGCTTACATAACCTGCAAACATCAAGAGGGGAAAAGCCACCCGGACCGGACAATCGGCGTTTACCAAGCGGCCCTGGGCGTTTTCTAAACAGCCCTACCTTGTTCGATTCCTTCTTTGAGCGCGCTTGCTACACGGTTTCGCGTGCCGGGGTGGTTATTCTGGGGGTTGTTTTGCTTGATTTCTGAAACATGATTCCTGCAACGTTTTCAGCATGAAGAGCTAGCTAGGAGACTGTGTTTTTCCCAACCCTCCTGCGTTGGGTTCTCGTTTTGAATAGAGCACTGCTCGCGCGTCTCCTTCCCATCGCGCGTCTCCTTCCCACCCCCTCCTGTCCCTCTCTTCCCCCCTGCCTTTGACCTCGCCATCCCTGGGGGGCTGCGATCTGTGAAGGGCTGCTGGGGGCTGCGATCTGTGAAACTGTCGCCACTTTCGAGGGCTGCTGAGGGGCACAGCACAGTGGGTACCCACCGCAGACTCAAATTAGACCTCGCCATCCCTGGGGGGCTGCGATCTGTGAAACTGTCGCCACTTTCGAGGGCTGCTGAGGGGCACAGCACAGTGGGTACCCACCGCAGACTCAAATTAGACCTCGCCATCCCTGGGGGGCTGCGATCTGTGAAACTGTCGCCACTTTCGAGGGCTGCTGAAGGGGCACAGCACAGTGGGTACCCACCGCAGACTCAAATTAGACCTCGCCATCCCTGGGGGGCTGCGATCTGTGAAACTGTCGCCACTTTCGAGGGCTGCTGAGGGGCACAGCACAGTGGGTACCCACCGCAGACTCAAATTAGACCTCGCCATCCCTGGGGGGCTGCGATCTGTGAAACTGTCGCCACTTTCGAGGGCTGCTGAGGGGCACAGCACAGTGGGTACCCACCGCAGACTCAAATTAGACCTCGCCATCCCTGGGGGGCTGCGATCTGTGAAACTGTCGCCACTTTCGAGGGCTGCTGAGGGGCACAGCACAGTGGGTTCGCCACGAGTGGGAGCCCAGCACAGTGGGTACCCAGACTCAAATTAGACCTCGCCATCCCTGGGGGGCTGCGATCTGTGAAACTGTCGCCACTTTCGAGGCCTGCTGAGGGGCACAGCACAGTGGGTACCCACCGCAGACTCAAATTAGACCTCGCCATCCCTGGGGGGCTGCGATCTGTGAAACTGTCGCCACTTTCGAGGGCTGCTGAGGGGCGCAGCACATTGGTACCCACCGCAGACTCAAATTAGACCTCGCCATCCCTGGGGGGCTGCGATCTGTGAAACTGTCGCCACTTTCGAGGGCTGCTGAGGGGCACAGCGCAGTGGGTACCCATCGCAGACTCAGATTAGACCTCGCCATCCCTGGGGGGCTGCGATCTGTGAAACTGTCGCCACTTTCGAGGGCTGCTGAGGGGCCAGCACAGTGGGTACCCACCGCAGACTCAAATTAGACCTCGCCATCCCTGGGGGGCTGCGATCTGTGAAACTGTCGCCACTTTCGAGGGCTGCTGAGGGGCACAGCACAGTGGGTACCCACCGCAGACTCAAATTAGACGCCGCTTTCGTCCTTGTTCTCCTCCTGCAGTCACCTTCCCTCTGCTGCTGCCGTGCTGATGGTTCGGCTTCCCGCACGTTTTTCTCCTGCTCTGCGTTCCCGACTCCCCATGTCCTCTTCGAGCCTGTAGCTGTCGCCCCTCGTCCTTGTATGGTTCTCCTGCGCATCATGACATAGGCGCGTGTCCCAAGTAGCTTACACATCAAGTTGATTTTCCATGCAAGTTTCGGCCAACTCCTCGTTCCCATTGATACAAATGGGTTGGGTACGTCACAGGGTAATTTTTGTGGGTCTGGCGATACCCGGGTTATCGGGCTTGCCCCCCTCTCCCCCCCCAGGACAACTTAACCTTGCCGGTCGTGCGGGGTGGTGGTGGGGCGCCGGCATATGCAGGGCTGCCCACAGCGCGAAGGTCAGGTCATCGGCCGGTCCCCTCCCCCCCCCTGGGATGACCTGGGTGGTCGCCGATTCTCAGGAGGGAAAAAAACACACAGGCAAAATTAGTCGTCGATTCCCCAGAAAATATAGGAAAACATGGGAAGTGGGGGGGAAGACAGAAACGCAGGAAATAGGGGAAAATATCGGGAATCTTTTTATTTGTGTGTATTTATGTGTGTGTTTCCTGGGGCCCCTTCAGATTCCAAAAAGAAGCGGCCTCCGGCCAGCCAGGCGCGCGTCGGAGACAACCCGTGGTCCACGGAGCAGGCCCCCACGCGGTGCCCCGATGGACGGGCGGGGGGCCCGGCGGGCCACGGAGGGCCCCCGCCCGCGCCCGCCGGTGCACAGGCATCCCGTGCCCGTGCGGGGGGAGGGAGGGTCTATTGCAGCATCGTTCTTGGGTCTTGGGTTTGCGCTGGTCTTCTTCTTCTTTTTCCTCCTCCTCCTCCTCCTCCTCCTCCTCCTCCTCCTCCCCCACCTCCCCCACTGTCTTTGCCTTGCCCCCCTGCCCTGCTCAGCTGGCGCAGAACTTCGCGACCTCTTCTGCTTGCGATTGCTTGAGCTCGATGCCCACGCTCCAGACGGCGAAATCGGGTCCGTGGGGGGGGCCGGCCCCGCCCCCTCCTGGCGCAGTCCTGGCTCGGCTCTGCCATGGCGGCACTCCCCCAAGCTCCGGCCGCGAAGCCACCGTGCGTCGATTCGTGGGGGGGGGGGCCCGCCTCGCCGTCGGGGCCCAGCAGATGTGCGGGCAACATCGCAGGTCATGGGGTTGACACCAGCACCAATGTCGGTGGTGTGCCTCTACCGAGGGAAGAAGATCCCGATCTCGGTGATGGTGGTAATATGCTGGCTTCCGAGGTGGCCGAACTATTGCCACCAATACCGAAATCTAGGATCATCTTTCTCATGAGGAGGCAACCTCCTGTGTTGGTGTTGGTGCGCATTTCTAGGGCTCCAACAATACATATGTCCACATCCAGAGCGTTCTGGACTTTTTGGAAATGGGGTGACGCAATGCCGAGGCGCACCGGATATGGAAAAGCGATCGAGCCTTTCGGGGCCAGATTTCTATCCAGGTCCAGTGCGCCTCCAGTTTCTGGGGAAGAGAGCCCCAAACTCCAAGACGCACTGGATGTGGATGTAGCTATTGCCCGCAAGAGGAGGGCACGCTGGGGCTCGATGTGTTCGGTGGCAAGGCATGGGAGCCTGGCCTGCCCTCTCAATGCCTTCTTGATCGTCGACGAGCGTCGATCGGCGTCTGGGAGTCGACGAGGTAGCGCCGATTCAGCGTCGGTCAGCGTCGATTCAGCGTCGGTTAGCGTCGATTTAGCGTCGATTTAGCGTCGATTCGCGTCGGTTCGCAAGAGCCGACAAGATGGTATGGGAGGCTCCCATGAGTTGCCACCGAAGATGTGCCGGGATGTCCCTAAACTGGGCAGGTCCAACCGTGGCACGGACGGAGGGCTTGTGGTTTTTGACTTCGTGCCCCCCCTCGGTTGCGTGGGCAATCTTCGCACCAGCGTGCACTTGCCCCGAAGCGGGGGGGGGCTCACCCGTGTTAGAACACGTCGGGTTGTAGCACTTTGCGTGGTCCAAGGTTCATGTCGTAAAGAGGAAGGCATGCCCACACTGAGGCCCTTCACTCCTTTTCGCTTCTTGGGGCTCTTGGGAGGCCTCAAAAGATGTTGTAAGCTGATGCGCTACTCTTTCTCCCAGAGCCACTCCCTGTGGCAGAGCTCCTTCGTGTTTCCTTCCGCCTGGGGGGAGCCGCCGGATTCATATCCGTGTCCCTCCTGTTCGCGCTCGCGTACCACCGGCACAAGGAGGCCACGTGGGCGCTGCTGTCTTTCGCCACCCTGGCGCTCCTGGTGCTGGCGAGCAGGGCCGGATCATGCCTTTTCGGTGTCTCTCTCTCTCTCTCCTCCTTTCTCTTAGTGTTCTTCTTGTTTCTCTCTTCTTTCTCCTCGTTCCTCGCTTCTCGCTGAGCCACTCGTCGCCTCTCTTCCCTCTCCCGCGTCCTGCCTCCAGTCACCTCTCTCCGGTGTCCCCTCTCCTGCCAGCCCCCTCCTGCCGCGCTTCCACAGTTCTTGACTACGACTGCTCAGGCACGGCGGCCCCAGCCTGGCCCTGCTGCCAGGATGCGGATAGGATCTTCCGTTGACGCGTGCGCTCCTGCCCCTCCTCTCTCGTCTCTCCTCTCTCCTCTCTTCTCTCTCATCTCCTCCTCTCCTCCTCTTTTTTTCCGTTCTTCTCTTTCTCCTCCTCCTCCTCCTCCTCCTTCTCCTCCTCCTCCTCTTGTCTTCCTCCTCGTCCTCCTGTTTACCAGCATCCCTCCTGCTCCTCCATCGTCCTCGTCGCCGTCGTGGTTCTCCTTCTTCCTCGCACCTTTTCTTTCCTCTTGCTCCGTTCTCACCATCTCCGTCGTCGACGTCCTCATCCTCGTCCTCCTCCTCCTCCTCCTCCTCCTGCCGCCCTTCCATCCCATCCCCCCCTGGGCCCCTCCCGCTCCTCTGACTCCCTCCGGGTTCTGTGTGCGCGGCGCTGCGCAGCTGTGCGCGTCGTCTCTTCACGCAGATCTCGCTCGACGCCCCTACGCGTTGTTTGGTTTTATGGTCTTTTATTTATTTGTCCGCCGATACGTCAATCGCTGCAAATGTCATCTCGGAATAACGTCCCGTTCGGCACCCGACGAGGCAAGGCTGACACGTATTCGACGCAGTCGGGACGGATGTGTGGGAGGGGTCGGAAGCCATGTTTGGCGCGAGCGTACTTAGCTTGCCTCTTCCCTCTCCGCTCTCTGCCGTCTCTCTTATCTAGTGGCCTTCGGCGCCTCCCGCCTCCCTGCCGCCGGGTCAGTCTTGGAGCCCTCCTGGGCCCGAAAGGGTCACGCGCCACCGCGCGCCAAGCCCCTCGGAGACCGCGGCAAGCCCCGGGAGATTTGGCAACTTGGGCTCTGGGGCCCTTTAAAGACTCCTCCTCCTCCTCCTCCTCCTCCTCCTCCTCCTCCTCCTCCTCCTCCTCCTCCTCCTCCCCCTCCCCATTCTCCTCCTCCGCCTCCTCCTCCACAGTTGCACAGGAGCGCCCTCAGCGCCCCAAGAGGCACCAGGATGGCCCACGAGGGCCCAGGGGATTGGGCAAAGGACCTGAGGACACGCCCACTCCGTGCCCAGAGGCACAGTGGCGGACTCAAGAGGCTGGCGCCACTGCGCCGACCCCCAGGAGAGGCGGGGAGTCCACGGTGGAGGCGTCGTGGGCCTCTTGGGCATTGTCCAGGGACTCCTGTGGGCGTGTTGGGAGCTGTTTGGGGGGCCCGTTGGAGCCTCTGGGAGGCAGTCTCGAACCGTCTTGGTGGCCGTTTTGGGGCCTCTTTTGGGCCGTCTTGGGGCCTCTTGGGGCTTATCGGGGGCCTCTTTCGGGCAGCTTTGAAGGTTCTTTGGGCCTTTGGGGGGGCCTCTTCAGGCGGATGATCAGATGTTCGGTTCGTGTTCTCCTTCTTGGCCTCTCTGGGGGCCAGTTGGAGCGCCCTCTTCGGGCCGTCTTGGAATCCTCTTGGGCCGTCCTGGGGCCCTCGTAAGAGCCTCTTGGGCAGTTTTCGGGCGGTCTATGGGGCCTCTTGGGCCGTCTTGGGACGTTGGAAGCGCGAAGGCGATAACCCCAAAAGCAATGAACAACCCAAGGAATTTCTGCCTCTCGGGACCCTCTTGAGAAGCCTCTTGGGCCTCTCTTGGGGCGTCTCGGAGGCGTCTTGGGGCATCTTGGGATATCGTAGGCTCGTAGGCTTCTTGGGCCAATCGATCGGTGATTTGGGATCGTCTTGCAACGTTTTTGAGGCCACGGAAGGCAAATTTGGAAGCTCCGGAGTCTCTGGGGGTGCGCCAAGTCGGGAGCCTTGAGACGGGGTCAATGCAAACGGGGATCAGCCAGGGCAATGGATCTTGCAGGATCTTGCGAAGACCTCCTCTGGCTGACCCGGGTTAGCGAGCCGCTCGTGGCCGCGAGGCGGCCGCGCCTATTGGCTGACCCGGGTTTGCGAAGACTTGCGTTGCAGTTTTTGTTTCCTGCATTGCAGTTTTTTGGTTTCCTGCTGACCCGGGTCTGGATTGACCCGAGTCAGAAGATCCCCGACCATGGAGGCCGGATACCCCCCCCCCCCAAAACGAGATTTTGGACCCTGGGGACGGGGGAAAGGGGGAGGGGGACAGCCAAGCATCTCACACGCATTCTAATCCCCGGCAAGCGGGGGTCGGCGGATCCTGTCTCCAGCCACCTGTCACCGTTCGCCCGCTACCCTTCTGCTCTCTCCTGTCTCCAGTCGCCTTTCTCCTCTCCTCGGTCCTCTCTCCACTCCTTGCTCCTTTCCTCCTCTCCTCGGTCCTCTTTCCTCTTCTCGGTCTTCTTTCCTTCCTCCTCTCCTCTTTCCTCTCCTCTCTCCTCTCCTCTTCCCTCTCTCGTCGCCCTGTCCTCGGTCCTTTCATTTGTCTCTTCTCTCATCTAGCCTCTCTTCGTCGGGTGCCTTTTGGCTCCTGTCTCCGTTCGCTCCTCCTCCCTACTCCCGTGCCCCCTCGCGTCTCTCGAATGTCCTCTTCTCTCCCATCTCTTCCAGGGTCGCTTTTCTTCGTTCCTGGCTGTCGGCATGATCTACGTGTTTGATCTTACCGGTGGCACCAGAAGCATCAGCTCCAACGCTGAATGCCATTCGCATTACCAGTAGAATTCGCACGCCGTTTTGCAACATCCAGTACATGCGTCCACTTCGCATACAGTGCGAGTCAAGGTGTCAGCAAGACAAGGTTGGGAGGTACGGTGGCTGGACCCTGATGAGAAGTGGCAGTTCTATACAGTGGCGATGTGCTTGGTCGCGATCGTAGCAGCTACTGTCGTGGGGGTGTTCACGTACGGCGAGTTCCTGGGGAAGTATTGGAACGCCAGGCGCGGTTTTCTTCTGCGCCGTCTCTTTCAGCAGCTGCGTGTCATTACTCGCTGCGTGCTGCTGTTGCCACAATTGCGAAGGCCATACGGCCCGTTCCGCCGTCCCTGAGAAATGAACAGCCTGTGTGCAAGAGGTGGGACGGAGACGGAGGAGGAGGAGGAGGAGGAGGAGGAGGGAGGAGAGGGGGAGGAGTTGGAGGAGGAGGAGGAGGAGGAGGAGGAGGAGGGGAGGAGGGAGGAGGAGGAGGGAGGAGGAGGAGGGGAGGAGGAGGAGGAGGAGGATGAAGGAGGAGGAGGAGAGGGGAGGAGAGGAGGGAGGAGGAGGAGGGGAGGAGGAGTGAGGAGGATGAGGAGGAGGAGGAGGAGGAGGAGGAGGAGGAGGAGGAGGAGGAGGAGGAGGAGAGGAGGAGGAGAGGAGGAGGGGGAGGAGGAGGAGGAGGAGGAGGAGGAGGAGGAGGAGGAGGAGGAGGAGGAGAGGAGGAGGAGGAGGAGGGAGGAGGGGAGGAGGAGGAGGAGGAGGAGGAGGATGGGGATGATGATGATGATGCTGATGATGATGCTGCTGATGATGGTGATGATGATGATGATGGTGATGACGATGATGCTGATGCTGATGATGCTGCTGATGATGCTGCTGATGATGATGCTGATGATGATGCTGATGATACTGATGCTGATGCTGATGCTGCTGCTGACGATGCTGATGATGATGATGCTGCTGATGATAATGATGCTGTTGCTGCTGCTGATGCTGATGCTGATGATGCTGATGATGCTGATGATGCTGATGATGGTGATGATGATGATGATGATGATGATGATGATGATGATGATGAGGATGATGATGATGATGATGCTGGTGGTGATGATGATGCTGCTGCTGGTGCTGATGATGGTGCTGATGATGATGCTGCTGATGATGCTGATGATGCTGATGCTGCTGATGATGATGATGCTGATGGATGATGATGATGCTGATGATGATGAGGAGGATGATGATGATGATGCTGATGATGATGCTGCTGCTGATGATGATGATGATGATGATGATGATGATGATGAGGATGATGATGCTGATGATGTTGATGCTGATTATGCTGATGCTGCTGATGATGTCGGATGGCGATGCTGAGGAGGAGGACGATGATTTTGAGGAGGATGAGGAGGAGGGGGAGGCGGATGCGGAGGATGATGATGAGGAAGAGGATGCGGAGGATGAGGAGGCGGAGGAGGAGAGTGAGGAGGACAACGACTAAGATGAATGCGAGGACGACGATGCAGAAGAAACATACTAACACTAATCATAATACTAATACGAACACTACGATTACTAATGCTAACCGTATGACGAAGAAGAAGCATACTACTCATACGCAGAATGGCACTATCACGAATACGAGCAATCACACGAATACGACGACGACGGAGCATACGACGAATATCCATACTATGCACAATGAGAAGAAGACGAATACTACGAACACTAATACGAATACTATGAGGATGAGGAGGGGGAGATAGATGATGATGATGATGAGGAGGAGGAGGAGGAGACGGAAGAGGAGGAAACGGATGAGGAGGATGTGTACGAAGAGGAGGAGGAGGAGGAGGAGGAGGCGGCGGATGAGGCGGAGGCGGAGGCGGCGGCGCAGGCGGAGGCGGAGGCGGAGGCGGAAGCGGAGGTGGAGGCGGATGCGGAGGTGGAGGCGGAGGCGGAGGCGGATGCGGAGGCGGAGGCGGAGACGGAGGCGGAGGCGGAGACGA